ATATATGCCTAGCAGTGGGATTGCAGGATCATATGGTAGTTCTATTTTTAGATTGTTTAAGGAACCTCCATACTGTTCACCATAGCGGCTAAACAAATTTACATTCCCATGAACAATTGGAGGGTTCCCACACCTTCTCCAGAATTTATTTGTGGACTCTTTAATGATGGCCATTCTGAGTGGTGTGAGGTGATAACCTCATTGTAGTTTTGATTTGCCTTTCTCTAATAATTAGTGCTATCGAGCATCTTTTCATGTGCCTGTTGGTCAGAAATGTACTCAATTATAACAAAACCTTTTAGCTCTAAATCAAAACAGTGCTGTAGGAACCCTGAGTTTTAATTAAGTTGAATACTTACTTCTGTGTCCCTTGATTGCCTTAAAAAAATATTCTAAGGCATCTCCCTTAGTCTGTAGTTTTTTTTCTAACCACTGAGGTAGCATCATGCTTTGACATTTAGATTTTAATTTGGGAATGTTTTGCCATTGCTGGTTGTTTTGCCTACATTATTTCTTTTGGGACATTCAAGTTTCGGCCTATCCAAAACTTCAGCAATCTAGGAATAGACTTACTCATAGTCACCAATCTCAAAATTGTTACAAAGAGCCATAAGTCTCTGCCATTGATTACTAGATAAGATAGAGATGATGAAAAAATAAGATTCAAGCTTCCAGCCAAATTCACCTCCCAAATCAAAATTAAGCCCAACGTAAATGCAGTAAAACATAATTTGCATTGAGCTAAAAGGAAGTGACCGAGAGGAAAAGGGCAAATACACTTGTTATCTAATGTAGACCTCTTTTTTCCTTTTTAATAAAAAGACTACCAGCAAATAACTCAGTGTCCCAGACTCTATATGCTCCAGTGAAAGCAATATCTAATTTTTTCATTACACCATATAAAAGGAAACTGGATAACCTTTTTATTTTATTTTTAACCCAAGAACTCTTGATGGCCAAGCTCTATTATTTGATGAGGGGTAGTCTCTAGAAGGCAAGGAGTTAAAGACGTCACTTTCAATGACAAAAGCTAAACACTTTACCCCAATTTCAGTCTCTCATCTATTCACCCTTCTCTTTGTGACTGATTTCAGCTTTCCAAGCTCCTCAACTACCTGCCCTTCATTTGTATTCCTAGCAAGAAGCCTGGCTGGAGATTTTGCATTTGTGTGCTAATGCTGATGAGCTTCCTTCTCTGGGGGAGGAGAGAGGAGGAAACCACAGAGCTGCCTGGGGGTGGGAGTAAAGGTGCTGGGTTTGCCTGGAGAGTCAAGCTGAATTTTAACCTTGAATTGCCTCTTACTGAGCTTCTAACAAAGCCTTACTGGTTTTGAGAAACCCTGTTCAAACGCTCTTATATACACAAACTTGAACCAACTAGGTTAGCCAAAAATGAAAGGTGGATTTAGGGAAATTATTTTGTTATTATAATGATAACTAAAGAATAATAATGTGCAAAACCTCCAAAGTATATCAGTGCCTCAGAAATAAATCAAGAAAGAGATAGATTTACTGCTTAGGCAAGTGTTTCCTGGTTGGCTCAGTGGGTACAGGATCCCCCTTCAATGCCTTAGACACAAGAGACACAGGTTTGATCCCTGAGTCAGGAAGATCCCTTGGAGAAGGAAATGGCAACCCAATCCAGTATTCTTGCTTGAGAAATCCCCTGGAGAGAGGAGCCTGGTGGGCTACAGCCCATGGGGTCAGAGAGAGTCAGACCCAGCTGAAGCAACTGAGCACAAGCCCCTTAAGCAAGGAAAGAAAAAATGTCAAATATTTTACTGAAAGGAAGGGAGAAATTTTCTTCTCTATATGAATAGACTATGGGAAATAAATTGTCCAAGAAAATCATTTTAATTAGAATAATCATTTCAGATATCTTCATAGTTTAGAAATATTAATGCCCTGATTTAGTTATACCTGGTGTTTCATTCTATTTCTGAGGGCACTATGCAGTCAGACTAAATGAATGAAATACTGCTGATCTGCTATGTGGAAAGCTAAATAGCAACATGCACAGTGTTGTTTTTTTTTTTAAATATATATATATACAATTTTTATTCATTTATTTTTGACTGTGCTGGGTCTTTGTTGCTGTGTGGGCTTTTCTCTAGTTGCAGTGAGCAGGGGCTATTCTCCAATTGTGGCGCACAGGCTTCTCTTTGCACCCGCTTCTCTTGTTGCAGCTTCCGGGCTCTAGAGCACAGGCTCAATAGTTGTGGCACATGGGCTGAGTTGCTCTGGGGTATATGGGATCTTCCTGGATCAGAGATTGAACCCGAAACTCTTACATTGGCATGTGGACTCTTCATCACTGAGCCACCAGGAAAGCCTGCTCATTGCTTTTGATTAACTTAAAAGCGGTACCAAATCATCTGCCAGAAGGCGCAGCTATGACCCATTATGGAAGAGTATTAATTCACCAGCTAACAAGGGGAAACGTCATTGCTTCTCATCCACTAATATCCAAACTCAAAATTCTCATAAAGGTGTAGAAGATCATTGGCTTTGTCTGATCAGTTACTATTCAAGGTTGCTGTGTGATCCTTTTTGAAGATGAGAGTAAATCATATTATTCAACAAGAAAAATTTGAAGTGCAATCCTTAAAACATTTTCTAAAGGGAATGGCAAAAAGATCTTGAGAAAAAAGGGCGTTCACTCAGGACATCACAAGCTAGTGAACAAAGCTCTGAAGTAAAGGAGCAGAAATCAGAGATCAATGTTTCAAACTGTGCATGGAGTACAAGTCCCTCAGATAAACAGGATATCAACTTTGAATTGACACTTGCCATCTACCGCTACAAGGATTCAGTACTGTTGCAGCCGCTGACCTTCAACACCCCCTGAAAGGAGTTCAGGGTGGAGAGCAGAAATGAGGCACTCTGTGCTCCAGGAAAAACTGGCAGAACAGGTCTTCAGATAGTTAGATATTTTCAGGAGCTGATTTTATGAGCCCAATTCTTGCATCTCTTCCTATCCAGAGAAGCACTAAATCCCTTCATGTTGATTACTACTCCTCCTGACTAGCAGTAACCTTCTGCAAAAAATGTGTCCTTTATAGCTGGTACTCCCCCTTTTCACCAAAATCACAAACCTCACATTTCCCTTGCCTCTTCGGAGCAGTTTCTCAGAGCTATCTGAAACGCTGTCTCCTGTGCAATAATCTTCATTTTGCCCCAATAAAAGTTCACCCTCATGCTGTGCAATTTTTTAAGTCAGTGATGAATTTGCATGTCCTTGACCTTTCTATATCTCAGTTCTTTTATTTCTCAAATTAAGCTAATCCTAAAGAGAGAATAACAAAAATGCCAACAAAGGTCTTAAGTGAAATTTGCTCAGTCATGTCTGACTCTTTGGGATGCCAGGGACTATACAGTCCATGGAATTCTCCAGGCCAGAATCCTCAAGCGAGTAGCCTTTCCCTTCTCCAGGGGAACTCCCCAACCCAGGAATCGAACTGGGGTCTCCTGCATTGCAGGCGGATTCTTTACCAACTGAGCTATGCGTGAAGGCGAAAAGGTCTTAAATAGCCTTTAAAATGTCAAAAGGGGATTATTATTTCCCTACAAATAGTGCAAACACTTATTCATTGGAAGAACTAATGCTGAAGCTGAAACTCCAATACTTTGGCCACCTGATGTGAAGAATTGACTCATTGGAAAAGACCCTGATGCTAGGAAAGATTGAAGGCAGGAGAAGAAAGGGACAACAGAGGATAAGATGGTGGGATGGCATCACCAGCTCGATGGACATGAGTTTGAGCAGGCTCTGGGAATTGGTGATGGACATGGACATCTGGTGTGCTACAGCCCATGGGGTCGCAGAGTCAGACAAGACTGAGCAACTGAACTGAACTGAACTGTACTGAACTTATTGGTGGATTTACTCCTGTTTCCTCTGAAGTTTTAGCCTGTTAGTTTAATAATCTCTACTCTCCCAGGCTGTTTATCTTCCTATGAACACACTTAATGGACTCATCTTGCAATATCAATGAACAGTATGCAAGAAATATAGGAATTCACAACAAATAAAAATAATGCTGAGGTCTGAAGTCTTTGGTTAACCTGACAGTCTTCAAGAAAAACAGAAAGAAATGTGCTTCTTATCTGATCATCCTAGTTTGCTTTAGGATGAGAGTATAGGCAGTATTCTGAAATAGATTTTTCCTGTCAGATCAAGCCAAGGGTCTGGCATTTGACCCTGTCTTCCATTGAAAGGCTTGGAAACTGACCATTCTATTTATATTTACTCCATTATTCATTTAATAAAAACTTGTTAACACATTTTGAGCTAAGTATTATGTAAGGATGGCATCTGGTTCCATTATTTCATGGTAAATATAAGGGGGAAAGGTGGAAGCAATGACAGATTTCCTCTTCTTAGGCTCTAAAATCACTGGGGATAGTGATTGCAGCCATAAAATTTAAAGACACTTGCTTCTTGGGAGAAAAACCATGACAAACCTAGACAGTGTATTAAAAAGCAGAGACATCACTTTGATGACAAAGGCCTGTCTAGTCAAAACTATTACTTTTTCCAGTAGTAATGTATGCATGTGAGAGTCAGACCATAAATAAGGCTTAGCACTGAAGAATTCACGTTTTCAAATAGTGGTGCTGGGAAAGACTCTTGAGAGTCCCTTGGACTGCAAGGAGATCAAATCAGTCAATCCTAAAAGAAATCAACCCTGAATATTGACTGGACGGACTGAGGCTGATGCTGAAGCTCCAATACTTTGGCCACCTGATGTGAAGAGCCAACTCGTTAGAAATGACCCTGATGCTGGCAAAGACTGAAAGCAAAAGGAGAAGAGGGTGGCAGAGGATGAGATGGTTAGACAGCATCACCTACTCAATGGACAGGAATCTAAGCAAACTCTGGGAGATAGTGGAGGACAGAGGATCCTGCCACACCTCCATTCCATTGCATCTGTGGAGTCACAAAGAGTCAGTCATGACTTAGTGATGAGCAACAACAGCAATAGCCATGCAAGGAAGATCTATATATTTTTGGCACTGGAACTAAGGAGTAAAGACACACATAATATTATCAGAGTAAGCATTCTGCCAAAACTTAGATGAGCGCCCAAGAAGTTGTGGGAGCTCAGTGACTGGGGACCAGAGTTAACAGACATATATTCAGTACTGTTTGTGTATGTCTGGTAAAGCAAAAAATGACCATGTTCAGCTCACTTGCACCCTCATGCTTTAAGGATGATCTTACATGCTCTAACGTGTGATGTGGAAGGAACAATGGAAGATATAAAGGGAAGCTGCCTTAAAACCACAGGTAGGATTGGGCCAGGTATATCAGTGAATGAGAGGAAAGTGGCTTTGAAATTATAATGATTCACGCCTCACCTCTGATTTCTTCGTAAGGAATATGAGAACTCTTATCTCCCTCAGCAGCGTCTGTTGGAGGACTAAAATAGTATATAAAACACATATGTACAAATACATAGATATATTTATATGTTTGGTTATGGAGAATTTATTGTTTTGTGTTATGACAAGGACTGAAAGAAGTTTCATTTTACAGCTGCTGTAGTTCATGCATTTACTCAGTTATTCAACCATTCATTAACAATATATTAGGGATTGTTCTTCAGGCACCATCAATATAAAGATGAAGACCATGTGGGCCTTGATAATCCCAAATTAGTTGGGGATACAAAGTGATATACGTGAAACAATTAGCTAATATGACAGTACTGGAGACTGGCTTAGAAGCAGTGCCTTTCTATATATGGAGCAGAGCTAACATCAAAGGAATTTATCCTTTATGTAGGCAGAGATGAAGCTGTTTATAAGAGACTAAAGGGGTGAATGCTTCACCATTTCCGGTAAAGAATAAAATAGAATTTGTCCTGCTCATTAAGCATGAATCTTAATTAGGGTATCTCAGAGATTGGGGGTGAATGAATTACTTAATTCTCTCTCTCTTTCCCTAAGCAGGTAAACTCAGCGGCAGTTGCATTTGCATCGGGCCAGGTACAAATACTTATAAATGAAATCACTATGTGGTTAGAGTGTAATAGTTTCATTCTGCTTGCCCAGGTGATTGCTAAGAACCAGACTCTAGTGTGGAGAAGGTTTCCTGCAAGAGAAAAACCTGATGAGGCTATGGGAGCTGAAGCATGGTGATGAAGGTTCATGAGTGGGGTGGCCTGATAGGTGTCAGTGCCCAGGAAAGGTATTCATGCGGGGGGTTCTGGTCAGCTTGCTTAGCCCAAGGAGGGTGATGATAACCTTTCATAGTGTTGGTGCTGGGAGGGAATTGATCAGCTTGGGGTAATGCGGAGAGTCTAAGCAAGGTGATGAAATTGTCCATGTGGAAAAACTGATAGGGTTTTTGGAGCTGCAGGAGACAAAGAGGGCTTCTAGATGTGGGGGTGTCCCAGAGAGGGGTGTTACATGCTGATAATAATGGGAGGGGGGTTGTAGTGGTGAGGGGAATTTAATTGCATTCTGTGAGATTGATCAAATGTATAAATACATGGATAATATGAGATAGTCTTACTTCTAATAAGGAAGTTAGAAATAAGGAGAAGAATAAAATTACAGAGAATTCTGATTTTGAATTGTAATACGGGACATTGATATTAACTTATGAATTTTAATGTAGAGAAATAGAAATAAAAATAGATGTTAATATGTATGTAGTGTGTGTGCGACTCATGTGATGTCATGGACTGTAGCCCACCAGGCTCCTCTGCCCATGAGATTTTCCAGGCAAGAATATCGGAACACTGAGTTGCAGTTGTGTATGTATGCACACATATATATTCCCTAGTGCTGTGAAATGGGCTGAGAAGATCACCTCAATAGCAATGAGAACACCTAACACCCAAAACTGGACTTAAAATATTATTCTCTACACCAAGGAACCAAAGAGCTTTGAAGAAATGGCTGATTACAGGGCCTTTGTTAACATGTCAAATGGACACAGCAGGCGTTGTAAGTGGCTCCCACTGGCCAAAATAAAGATACAAATAAATACTGATATGAATGGATTATAAATCATTGAATAAAGTAAAAATCGATAAGATGGCACTGATATAATCAATAAATGGATAAACTGGAAGTTTACGGAGGAATAGGATATTTCATAGCTACAAAAAACCTCCCCCACCAAAATTCTTTTAATTGTAAAGGAAGAAACATAGTTTCACAGTAGGAAGAGCTGTCAGGCATCACCTTAATTAATCAAGAGATTAAAGTGAGCATCTGTGTGTGCTCTCTCGATACACTTCAATGTGAAGAGCACAGAATTACTTTTATGATATGCCTGTCAAGAGACATAACTAATCAAGAGGAAAATCAGAAAAACAGAAATGGAGGGATATTTTACAAAATAAGTGGCCTAGGATTTTCAAAATTCTTGAAAACTAAACGAAGACTGCGTAAATTTTCCAGTATGAATAAGATTAAAGAGACATGTCATCTAAATGAAATGTGTGACTCTGAACTGGATCCATTTCTCATAAAGAATATTATTGGACCAACTGGTAAATGTTGAAGAGAGTCTGAGGATTAGATGATAATATATCAAGCCTGAAGCTTCAATAATTTGGTCATCCGATTCGAACAGCTGACTCATTGGGAAAAATCCCTGATGCTGGGAAAGATTGAGAAGCAGAAGAAGAGGGCGTCTGAGGATGACATGGCTGGATGGCATCACCGATGCAATGGACATGAACTTGGGAAAACTCCAGGAGATGATGAGGGACAGAGAGGCCTGGCGTGCTACAGTCCATAGGGTCGCAAAGAGTCGGACATGACTGGGCAACTGAACAATATCGTGTTTGTATAAATGTCCTTATTTGTATGAAGTACACACCTAAGTATTCAGTGGTGATGTGCCATCAGATCAGCTCCTCAATCTCAAATAGTTCAGGAAAAAGAAGGTTCTGTACTTGCAACTCTTATCTATGTCTGAAATTCTCTCAAAATAAAATCATATTTTACACTACTAAAAAGACAAAGTCCTGGGACTCTGTTGTCAAGTCGCGTTGGCTCCCATTACAGCTGTGTGGGTTTGTTAAAATCTGTAACCTCTCTGAGCTGCTGTTCCTTCTTCTATGAAAGGACTATGATAATAGTAACTTCTTAAAGGGGTTGTTTTAAAGTTGAAATGAAAAAGACTTTCATAAAGTCTCTGGCTCTTAGGAAATTTTTTCTTCATTAGAGGCTATTTTTCTTACTTATTTTTATGGAATAAAACAAAGGGCTTAATTAGTTCATGTGTAAATGACTACAAATTAGCTAGGATGTAGTGTTCAATTTTTTTCATACTGGAAAAAGAAGCATTATATGTTTTGTTGTTATTGTTATTGTTGTTGAGGCACTAAATTGTGATTGACTCTTTCCCAGCTTCCTCTGTCCATGAGATTTCCCAGGCAAGAATACTGGAGAGGGTTGCCATTTCCTTCTCCATGGGATCTTCCTGATCCAGTGATTGAACCTGCCTTTCCTACATCAGCAGGTGGATTCTTTACCATTGATCCACCAGGGAAGCCCAAGAACACGAGTATTCCTAATTAAAAAAACTAATCAGAGACACTGTTGCTGCTGCTGCTAAGTCACTTCAGTCGTGTCCGACTCTGTGCGACCCCATAGACAGCAGCCCACCAGGTTCCCCTGTCCCTGGGATTCTCCAGGCAAGAACACTGGAGTGGGTTGCCATTTCCTTCTCCAATGCATGAAAGTGAAAAGTGGAAGCAAAGTCACTCAGTCGTGTCCCACTCTTGGTGACCCCAGGGACTGCAGCCCACCAGGCTCCTCCGTCCATGGGATTTTCCAGGCAGAGTACTGGAGTGGGGTGCCAATACCTTCTCCATCAGAGACACTGGATATGATAAAAAATAACTATCAAAACAGAAAACATCAACATGTGGAAGGCCAGCAATATGAAAGAGGGAGGGAGCTGGATGGGGAAGGGTTTCTGGAGCAGTGGAAGCCCCGGGCAGGGTGGCAGTGTAGAGCCCCGGGTGCTGGAGACACTGCGTGTCAGGGCACCCACCGGCGCACCAGCAGGCCCACGCACAAGAAACCCCCGGGCCCCACGACACTCCCTGGAGTAAGCCCCGCCCGGTGTCTGCAGCTGAGGCCTGACCGCCCTCCCCGCTGCTTGCTCCCCTAATTTTTAGTCATTTAACAGAGTACGAGATACGTTTGGCTTCAGCTCCATCACATGAATAATATAAATTCGTTTAACCATATTATGGTTTCATGTACTCTAAATACCCCTATAATAACAATGTTAGATGTCACCAAGTTTCAGCTGTGGAAATGTCCACATATAAATACACAGAGGCTTCTCATTTTTTTTTTTTTTTGGCTGAGGCTCATGGTGGGATCTTAGTTCCCCAACCAGAGATAGAACCGGTACCTTCTTACACTGGAAGCACAGAGTCTTAACCAGTGGACCTCAAGGGAAGACCCTACATAGACACTTTTACTGTCAGAAATATTCAGACATTATAGATGTTACCGTGGCAGAAATGATATCCAAATCAACAACAAAAGAAGGCAAAATAAATTTCCATATTTGAAGATTACAGGTGCAACTGAGAAAATTCAGTATAGTGAAGAGGAAAGATGTAGTAATCTTTAAAAAAAATATTTAACTATAATTGTACAATATTGTTTTAGGTATATAACATAGTCATTTAACATTTAAATATATTACTAAAGTATTACTATGATAAGTCCTGTAATCATCTGTCACCATACAGAATTAGTATAGCATTATGAATTATATGCCTTATACTGTATATCACACCCACACTTTATAACTGGAAGTTTGAACCTCTAATTCTTCTCACTTGTTTATCCCAACTATCTACCCAAAGATATATGCACCCCTATGTTCACTGAAGTATTTACAATAGCCAAGATAAGGAAACAACCTGTGTCCATCAACAGATGAATGAATAAACAATATGTGGTGTATACATACAATGGAATATTTCTCAGCCACGAAAACCACTGAACTCTTGCCATTTGTGACAACATGTGTGGATTTAGTAGGTATTATACTAAGTGATATATTATTTATTGTTTTTTATTGTTACCCTGACAAATGACCACCAGTTTGGCTTGAAACAAAAATCCATTTATTGTCGCAAAGTTAAGTAAATACGGATCAGGCTGGGTTTGGCTTGTTCTTTGATTAGGGTTTCACAAGACAAAGTCAAGATTATTTCCCAGGCTGTACTCTTATTGGAGGTTCTGAGGGAGATTCCCCTTGTAAGATCATTTAGGTTGTTGGCAGAGTCTATTTCCTGGCATGTATAGCTCTGAAACTGTGTGAAGAGAATCATTGTCAATATTAATTTCTCTTGTATAAATGCAACATAGGTAATTTTAAAGACAATTGAAATTGTACACTCTATACATACATGCTTCTATAGAGAATACAGTATTATTTCAATTTTAACTTAGAAATTAAGGTTTACTCAAAACAGAACCCTATAATATTAGATATTTAATATCTGTCTTTCACACCTTTTCTGGTTCCCCTTCTTAACTGCCAAATTAGCCAAGTTATCATCTATGTAGGTGTTTACACATATTGAATCTCTATTGGGGTGGAGAGGGAAGGATGGCTTAGGAAGAGCATTTAAAGTGATTTGAGAGTTGCCATCACCACAGTTGTCCATACCAATTTTGTCTTTGTTGCCACAATGAAGAAAGTTTTGAAACATTCCAGAGAATTGTAGATTAGAAAGTGGAACATGACAACAACTACATTGGGCAATTACAGATGCATGGAGGAGTGAAAGCGGTGGCCCTCCATAGAAACAATAACCTGCATTTACGAGCTTTTGTGCGCACCCCTCCAGGAGGGCCTGAATCTGGCCGCCTCCCGCCCCCATGGTTCTATAGCTCCGAGGCTTGGCTTAGGTGGGGTTGGAAATGTCCTAGAATGGCTCTTTGTTGATTTTCCCTCATGCTAGAGCCTAGTGTTGCTGTGAAGCAAAGTGCTA